TCCTGTAAATCATTTTGTCCTGTTTTGAACGATTAATCACATTTCATTTCTGTACCCTGTTTTAATAATCCCTTCTTCCTTTGTGTAAAATCCCTCCCTGAAATAAAAGACGGACGCAGATTGAATCCTGTGTGCATTACTGCCTGCAGGGCCATGATGCCTGCAATCCAGGGTCTGCCTGCCAGTTTTGCATACACTCTGGTTTCGGGGTGTTTCTTTGTTTCTCTCGTTGCATCTTTGTGTATATTCTTTCTCTATCTCTTTCGCCGCCAGATCTCCCTATTTTGTGAACCAAACTTCCCTGTCGAGGCTGGTCCCCAACAACCCACTGGGAAAAAGTTACTACCAGCTCCTATGCCACCTGATTGATAGACAGCTGCCAACATCAGCCAAACACAACATAAACTCAGGTACAAGACTTGCCAATGGAGAACAGTGCACTCTTCCACTCTCCAACACCACCACTAGGATACAGTTGGTATACAGAAAGCCTAAGAACACAACAACATAAAATCATAAATAAAACACAAATACAACACCACAATTTTGGCTCACTTGAAGAAAAAGGATAGAATGACTCAAACAACCAACCAAGATGTAGAGCCAGAAAATGTTTCTGATGAAAAAAAGATAATGATATTATTTGAAAAAGAATTCAAAAGGATGACATTTAGGTATCTTCAAAGGATTAACTGAAAGATGTGAAAAGCAAGGAAAACAGGAAAAAAAAAATCCTCAGAATAATTCAGGAAAACACTACAAGAATAAGGAAACGAAATGAAATTTGAAATAATATAAAACCTGCAATTAGAAATCCAGAAGATTAATACTAAAATTTAAAAAATGGACAATACACTGAAAGGGCAAAAGAGTAGGTTTGAATCAATGGTGGCCTGAATTAGTGAATTTGAAGATAAATCTCTTGACAGTATGCAATTTAGACATTGGCTACCTAAAAAAGAAAAAGCAGAAAAAAGGATGAAAAAAATCCAAAGAAAGCCTAAGAGTTATGTGGGTTGCCATGAAGAGGAATAACTTATGAGTGATTGGAATTCCAGAACAGGAAGACACAATGAAAAACAGAAAATTGTCACAGAGTTGTTAGAAAAAAACTTTCCTAACATCATGAAAGATGTGATGACAGGCATACAAAAAGCTGAAGAAACCCCAAACAGGATAGATTCCAAAAGAAAATCATCAAGACATA